GCTCTGCCAGTCTCCCCCACAAATGGTATGGCCGATCTTTTTCTCTAATATTGAATAGGTCCTACATATTCATTGCCTCAGAATACCATTATGATTTACTCTACCTTCTTAAATCTTTAAACCAAGCCCATTATCCTATGAAAAAGTAATCCTACAACTGTCCTTTGTCAGACCAAAAGATAGGTCCACTTTGGGCCACTGGGTGCCAGATCTGGTATAAGCTCGCTGTGTGTGTATTTCATTTGAACAAAACCACCTGCATAGATTTTGCTTTATATTTTGTCTTCTTGTACTTTCTGATTCTGTTTTAGTAGTATTTATTGGCTATGTTTTTTAAATAAGTGAATAAGTACAGGTACCTTACTGTGAGGTGAATGTGTATATGTATATCTAAAAGTAAATAAGTAAGTGAAATCTTGATGTAAAATGAAGAATAGTCCAGTAAAGGAAAGCTCAGAGACAGAAGGAAAGATGAAATGGAAGGAGAGGAGAAGAAGGAAGGAAGGAAAGGACGGAGGGAAGGAGGAAGGGAGAGAGGGAGGAAGGAAGGGAGGAAGGGAGGAAGGGAGGAAGGAAGGTTGGGAAAAAAGAAGAAAGGTTTAAAGAATTAGGATGATTTTTTCTGAAGAAGACAAAGCTAGATGGGCAAGTTATTCAAGCCAGATGCTTGTCCTTTGTATGGCACACAGTGAGACTCAATATTTGTATTGAATGGATAACATTAAATTAAGGGAGGTTGTATTGATGGAGGCACTAGGTATTCTTAGTGCTTGCAAAAGGCTGAGTAAGCTCTCTACATTCGGGCAGGAGAGATGTTGGTAAATGTAAGGGAGAACTTCTCAATCGGTAGACTGAGTGAAAATAGAGACCGTCTGAAGCAAAGGTTCTGGCTGGGAAAGCCTCAGAGGGGAGGATGCAACCATGTAACCCAGAGACTTTAGACCATCCACTCGCCTAGACACGGGCCCAGATCATCTCCTGGGCCCTTCCCAGCCCCATCAGTGAAGTGAGGGCACAAGTCCTGGTCATGTTCAGGGAATCAGAAAATGGAAAGCACCTGACAGCCCAACCCTCTGTATTTACAGAGGAAGAGGCAGACACCTACATCGGTGAGGTATTCTGACTCCTGTGTGCTAAGTCACAAGTAAGAGATGAGAAGCCAGAGCAGCTGAATGAGGGAACGTGACCAGGGAGGGTTCTGGAAATCCTAGACTTTAATGTCCCCAAAGCTATTTGGTCTTCGTGGAACCTCATACTTCCCATCACTGAGCCACTTCCCCCCTCAAAAAATCATGCACCCTTCAAACTGCTTTTCTGCATCTCCACAAATCCCAAGAGCCCGTCTTGAGAGTGAAGCAACAGAGGTGACCCAGCTTCATATCCTAGTGTTATCACTTACCAGCCGTGTGACTTTAAACCAGTAAAAATACCTCTGGGCTTCATTTTCCTCAACTGTAAAATGTGGGCAATCATGGTGCCTACTTGCAGAGGTGGTTCTGTGGCATAAATAAGATAAGACCTGTGATAGGTTTAACACAGTGCCTGAAACACAGTAAGAATAAGAAATGTCTGGGTATTGTTATCAATCAATAATGAGTCAATGAGCATTTATTCAATGCTTTATGTGGTGCTAATTACTCTGAAAGACATAAACCAAGGTATCCATGGCCAAAGTCAAGTAGAAAATTTAGAGCAGTTGTTCACTTGGTACCAAATAAGCCATTCTAAAGTCACGATTCTCTTCTTTGCCTGGGAGAGTACAGTCTCTTTTGGTCTCAGCCCCACAGAAGGAGCACTCCTTTAGGGCAGGACCTTAGGATTCAGCCCTGCGTGAAGACACAAAACCGTTGGCTTCTGTTTTTGAGTGACAATTAGTCTAATTCAGTGCTCTGAGAGCCCTTAATAGTTGAACACACTTCCTGTCCATCAGGCCATCCAAAAGCCAACCCAGAGACTACTCAGTAGCTCTCTCCACTAGAAATGCCCATGAAGCTCAGACAGGAGTGTGGCACTGGTGTCCAGCCACACAGCTCTACTCACACCTCACTATCAAAATTCTCTGGGAGAGATTCCCTGCCTTGTTTCCTGAGCATCAAGATGTTAGCCAATAGCTGGAAGGGTAGGATTAAACAAGGATTCCCTGTACGTTGCCTATGTCCACATCAATGGGTCTCAAAAGGCAGCAAGACCCTGCCCCTTTTTTCATTTTTCATTTTGTTGTCATTGTCGATCCACACGCAGTTCTAAGAACTAAGACAAAGTTCTGATTCCCTCCTTGCGTAACTGTAGTACCGCTTCACAACCAGGAAATTGACTATGATACGATCCACCAACCTTATTCAGATTACACCATTTTACATGCACTGACATGTGTGGTGTTTAGTTTTTTGCCGTTTTATCACATATATAGATTCATGTAAACACTGATAGTCGAAGTACAGAACAGTTCCTCCCTCCTCCCTCCCACCCCCTTCCGCTCCCCCTGGCCACCACCCATCCATTCTCCATCTCCACAATTCTGTCATTTCAAGAATGTTGGATACATGGCATCTTACACTATGCAACCTTTGGAGATTGGCTTTTCTCTCTTAGCATAATTCCTTTGAAACCCATCAAGTTGTTGAGTGTCTCAATAGATTGTTCTTTTTTTTGCTGACTAGTATTCTATGACATGTGTCTTTATCCATTCACCTATTGAAGTATATTTTGGTTGTTTCCTGGTTGGGGCTGTTAGAAACAAGGCTGCTTTGACTGGTTTTTGTGCCAACATATATTTTATTTCTCTGGGATAAATGCCCAAGAGTGCAATTGCTGGGTATATGGTAAGCATATATGTAGTGTTATAAAAACAAACAAAAACCTGTTATACTGTTTTCCAGAGTAGCTGAGCCATTTTTCATGTCCCCCGGTAATGTATGAGTGATCTAGTGCCCAGTTCTTTGCCAGCATTTGGTGTTGTCACCATTTTTTTATTTTAACCATTCTGATAGGTGTGCAAGCGATATCTCCTTGTGGTTTTAATTTGCATTTCCCTGATGGCTAATGACTACAGTGCCTATTTGCCATCTGTATATCCTCTTCAGTGAAATGTCTCATGTTGTCTTTTGCCCCTGTTCTAATTGGGTTGCTTCCTATGTTACTGTTTACTGCTGAGAGCTCTTTATATATTCTAGAAATAAGTCTTTTGTCAGATACATTTCTTCCAATCTATAGTTTGCCTTTTCATCTTCTTCACAGGGTCTTCTGAAGGACAAACCCTTTTAATTTGGGTGGGTTCTTATTTATCAATTTTTCTTTTTCTGGGTCAAGCTGATGTTGTCAACTGTAAGACCTCTTTGCCCACTCTTAGTCCCGATGATTTTCTCCCACATTCTTGTTATACAAGTTTATAGTTTTATGTCTTACATTTAGGTCTTTGATCCATTTGAGTTAACTTTTATACAAGATGTTAGATTTATATCAAGGTTCACTTTTTTGCTTGTGGATATCCAATTGCTCCAACATCAGTTGAGCAATGCTTTTTGGAAAAGCAATTTGGCAGTAGTTATCCTGAGCCCAAAAAATGCCCATAGCTTTTTTTCCTGTCACTTCTGGGAACTCACCCTAAGGAAATAATGCAGACACATGAATAAAAGCTGTAGGTTGGAAAACAGTCACTGGAACATTTTTTGCGAAACTGAAAAATTGGAAGTAACCTGAATGCCCAACAATCAGAAATTGCTTAAGGGTGGCACAGACGTGAAAAAAATATGCAATAATTAAAAATATATTTACTCAATCCTCTTTACCTGTTCAACAAATATTTATTCAGTTTCCATAGTGCTGGTGCCAAGGATAACGTGGGGAGCAAATTAGACACCATCTCTCCCTTCTAGAAGCTCACAGTCTGGAAGGGACAATAGAGAAAATAGTTCTGTAGCTGATAAAAATACATTTTTCTGGGTGGCTCAGTCAGTTCAGCATCCGACTTCGGCTCAACTCATGATCTCACAGTTTGTGAGACACAGTTTGCGCTGACAGCTCAGAGCCTGCTTGGGCTCTCTCTTCTCCATCTCTCTGTCCCTTCCCCACCTGCACACATGTGCTTTCTCTCTCTCTCAAACATAAATAAATGCTTTTTTAAAAAATGAAAAATACATTTGGTAAACTAAGGGGGAAAAACAGGAAACCAAACTGCATGCACAAGGTGAAAGATAAAAAAAAATAATAATCCTTGTTTTAGAGTGATCAAGAACAGTTATTGTCATCTTTTCCAACCCTCCTGCGGCACTTTTCTTTGTATAATAGTAACAGTGGTAAAGAGAAAAGCTCCAATTGAGAAATAGCTTCTTGCCACAAAAGGTTAGGAGTGTCCATTTGAAGAGGCGACAGGCACACATACAACAATCCAAAGGGCACGAGAGAAACCACCCCGGACAGCGAGGTGTTCCAGAGCCCAGCTAAGTCATGCTGGATTATTCAATCAGTCAACAAGTACCAGTGGGGGCATCTGCAAGGTGACCTGTATCACATGAGGCCCTCAGAGTACATGTTTAAGAATAGACAGTCCCTGACTTCTTCAGGCCCTCATGAGAAATTCTGATCTCAATCTTCTTCGTGCCTGTTCAGCACTTCACTTTCCCACTTGTGAATCTTTTCAACCGACCTAGACAGTTGTGAGGGAGGGCGTAACTATCCGCATTTTTCAGACCACAATGTTCAGAGCAATTGCCTGAGGTCGCACTGATGATAAGCGGCAGGGCCGGGGCTAAAGACCTGGCTTTTATCTCTGAGGTCTCATAACACCATTACTCAAAAACAGTTGTGTTCACCGTGGGCTCAAAGGATGCAAACAATCAGCGGACAGCCATAACTAGAATTTAAACCGGGTGGATGAGAAAGCATATCCCTACGGCAGGGGACGGGCCTCTCTCCCCTCATGTGCTCAGGGCTCAGGAGGTCAAGGCAGCAAGAGGAATGTGATCTGAACACCTGGGCTCACACATCCCCTCTCTCCCCAGATGGTGAAGGCAATCCAGGTCCTGAGAATTCACCTGCTGGAACTGGAGAAAGTCAATGAACTCTGCAAGGACTTTTGTAACCGGTACATCACCTGCCTCAAAACCAAGATGCACAGCGATAACCTGCTCAGGAATGACCTCGGGGGACCCTACTCCCCCAACCAGCCCTCCATAAACCTTCACTCACAGGTAACACACAGGGCTGGGCCCCATCTCCTAAGCCAGGTGTAGAAATGGCTGAAGGTTTCTGGTGACATAGGAAAGTGGACTAGGCACACTGGACCCTGTCAGCATAAGGGCCCTCTTCTGATCCACCCCTGCACATCAGCAGTACCAGAAAGCACCGTGCCAAGGCATTAATATCCCTTAGAAGATGACCACAGTGATTCCTGGCTTCCTGGCCCAAGATATCCTGGGACGTGTTGAGGTCCCAGTGTTGAGATGGAAAGCTTTCCTGGAGGATGAGGCAGGGGCAGAGCCGGGGATGGACTCCAACCTCCTAGCCTCGTGCACTTCTCAAGAGGGCTTGCTGAGCCCTCCATGTTCTGGAGAAGGACAGTTTGGGGAAGGTGGACCTTCCCTAAATCCTGCCCACTTAATAAACGAAGACCGCTTCCCATGCAACTGCTTCTCCCAGGTGGTTTCTAGTTGCTCACCCTACCCTGACTCATCTGTCTTCCTAAGGTTCAGGGCCACTGTCAATGTCACCTCAAGTTACCCCCCTCCCAAGAGTCACCCGCCACCTTCATCCTGGGGACCCGGGGATGTGGAATGGCAGCTATGTGTTCTAGGCGAGAATGGACTTTTCCCTCCAGGGCAGAATCTTTTTCCCAAACCTACGAGCTAAGAAAGCTGCCTGGTGATACCTTTCCATAAGACTCACCGACCTCTTTGTAAGCCCTAGCTCCCCATTTTCTTCCTTTCCCAGTGAGCTCTCGAGTCCAGGACAGACACATGGAGGCCCCCGGAGGCTTAGAGTAGCCTCTTCTCATGAGACAGTCAGGCTTGGGGAAAAGGATAAGCTTTCTAAGACTGATTGGTGCTGGAAGGAGCGCCTAAGAAAGGGGGTGCCATTCTTATCTCCAAGCTTTAAGAACCAACACCATCCGTTCAGGTGGGTAGAGGCAGGGGAAGGGTCGGGAGGGAGGGGGGGGGCTCAAGAAGGCCAGCCATGCCTTGCGCATATTGACTACAAGCGTTGCACCAAACGCACCCTAAAGGCTTCTCTGTGGGACCTGACAGTGAGTATTGCGTGGGACATGAGGGAAGAAGTTTATTTCCTCTTCCCATTGCTTGAAATCACCAAATCACTTTATTACAGATCTAAAAACAGCCGCCCAGGCTTCTGCTTGCTAATATTCTCTTGAAATAGACTCATTCCTTCAGAGTCTTATTGTACTTTCCCTTATGATCAAAATTAGCAAGAAACTTGCATAAAAGAGGACAATAATTGCTCAACGAGCATCTCGTTTGTAATTTATTAGTTTCTATTATTGTGGGTTACCATGGCGACGCCGTGCAGCCCCGGTGACGGGAGAGATGCAAGATAGGAGCTGAGGAGGCTGTGAGGCCTCACCAAATGGAGATGCACATTTTTATCAGTAATTTTCATGAAAATAATAAGTGAGGAGTTAATGAGATGGAAAGCCATCCTGTGGCTATTGTGAATTTTTTTTAAGTGTTGATCTAATTAGAATGCATCGGTCAGGAAAAGTAATGAGGATTTAGTGCCTCACAGAGATGTGAGGATCATATCAGAAAATTAGCACAAGTCTTTGGAAATAATCAGGTCCTTGGAGAGGCTCTGGATTTCCCCTCCTGGGCTCTCCAAGTCTACCTCGAGCGCTGACATTGGGAGTGTATCAGGGCAGTGGGGGGAAGGAAGGAGGGCCAGAGGGCTTAGCAACCACAGCGGCCCCCTCCAGGTTGGGGTCCCAGGGCAAGTTGGTCTGCAGCAAGCAGAGCCACTGGGGACGCAGGGTTGGCAGAGAAGGATGACACGGGCTCTGGGTGAGCCGCTGCCTGCGAAAGTCAGTCCTCCTGGGAAACCCCAGCATCCGGTGCCTCTGAGCTTTGAGGAGGGAGGGGAGAGAACTCTGATTCCCGTCATTGTAAATATCAGATCTCTGGCCGACAGCGAAGCTGGCCCTGGGGTGGCCACTGCAGAAAGTCTTCTGATCTGCTGCTTAGAAAGAGGAACTCAGACAATCGGGCAAAAACAAAGAGCGAGAAAGAGAAGAAAAGACACTTAGCAAGGACTCCTATTTGCAATTTCTCAAACTTGTCCCTTCATTGCCTGTGACTGCCACCACCTATGTAGTTCAGACTTCAGTGGGTAAATAAGATAATTACACACAGGCTGCTCTCAGAGATTCCTACTGGCTCCCCCTGTCCTCTCCGGCTAGCCCTCAGCCCTACACACACACACACACACACACACACACACACACACACCTACATACACATGCCTCTTAAGCTTCTGCTGCTCGATTTGCTGTCCTAAAGCTCTGTTCTTATCATTCTCCTGATCGAAAGCTCGGACTGTCCTCAGAGTTTTCGCATCCTATCACCCGATAGTCAAGGCTCCCTCCAGGTCCCCATTCTCCCAAGCCTGTCTGTTCGGGTGATGCTTCCACACCTCTGCAGGACCAAACCTAGCCTCCTCTGCAAGGAAAATAACAAGGCTACTTTCCCCTGGAGGCTTCTCTGGGTGCCCCATCCAGAAAGCACTTTTCTTTCTCTCAACTAATGGCTGGAGCACCGTGGGCCACTTGTATGTAAATATCACATGTGACTTTATCATGGAGTCCCTGGTGTAAGTGTTATTCTCTCCTCCTAGAAAACAGACATGTTTGGGGTACAGACAGTATTTTCTATACAATTATGACCCATGCCTGGCAGCGGCTAACCCACGGTCTTATGCACGGACGGCCAGTAAATATCTGTTGAAAGAAGTAAGACAAGGAGAAAGATGGAGACAGATCAAGAGAGGCCAGAGGAACCCAAAGGAGGGAAGGAGAAATCAGAAGAAGGATAAAGGGAAAGGAAGACAACTCTGTAGAGTCACATTCAAGCGGGGAGGTATAGGAAGGATGAACATCTGGGGGCGGGGGCAGCAAAGGGAAGGAGACACAGATGGGGGAAAAGGGAAGTGAGGCCCCAGAAAGACAGAGGCAGAGGCGGAAACGAGAGGGAAAGCCTGGCAGCCACGTTGGGATGAAAGGACAGTCCAGGCAGGCGTGGAGTCCGTGCAAAGCTGGGTGCGCAGAGGAGGGAAGCTGAGGAAGTGCGCCGTGTGCTGTCCACCTTCCCAGATCGGGCTCCTGCTGCTGTCCCCTGAGCTGCTGGGGGTGGGGGGAGGGGGGCGGGGCGGGTGGGGCCTTCCCGAGAAGGAGAGTCTCTGTTGCCAAGAGATTTTTCAGGGGAAGAGACAGAGTCAGGGCATGGGACCAAGTATGGGAGAGAAGAAAGAAAAGGAGTGCCTGGTGCGGGTGCGTATTCGTGTGTGTGTGTGTGTGTACGATGGTTCACATTTGTCATGGTCCGACCTTAATCCCCCCCAGCCTGAAATAGCCCCACCGAGCGCCAGCCTGGCCCAGGGAGGGGTGCCTCCCCTCTGGAACATGATCCCCAGGACCAACATTCCAGCCGCCTGCCAGCTTTGTTGCAAACTGCTGGCTCATGGTTTTCCCTGCTTGCTAATCATTCGGCCTGTGTGGCAAAGTAGGAGACATTTTTCCCTTCAAATTGGTCCCCCCCCCCCACACCAGATGCCGTACCGTGTCCCCATTCAGCTCTACGGCAGCTGGGCACACCCACAGCTTGGCCTCCCGTTCCTGAATGTGAACATTCTCTTGGGGCTGGAATCCGGGTAGGGAGTGGGGGAGACTGCTTCCACCAAGCGAGAGGGCTGAACCAGAGCTCCTGAGGAGCTGAGCCACAGCTCGGTTTTCCCGCATGCCCAGGAAGCTGTCCTGGACTGCCCGCACCCGAATGCCATCCAAGCTTCCTCATAGCTCGGAGCCCAGCTTCCCTCCGGGGCAGCCTCTTTGGTAAGGAGGCTCATTCTAGACTCCGACATGGGCTTCTCCTACCTTTCCCTAGAGGGCATGAACGAAACCATCACACTAGAGAGAACCTAACTCCCGCCTCGCTCAAGTATTAAGTTGACTTGAAATTCACCCTCCTTTCTCTGTAGGGATTTAAGCTGCAGCCCTATTGGGAGCAAATTGGACTGCCCCGCAGTTCTCAGCCACCAAGCATTTGGGGGTCACTTACTGTACGCACTGTGCTAGGTCCCATGAGAGCACAAGTGAATTGTCCAGAAGGAGCTCCCAATCTCAGTGTGAGGGAGCTGTGAGTCACTCCTGCGGGTCTGGATCAGTTATGTGAGCCGTAGAGTCTCCAGGTCAAGTGAACCCTGAGGAAGGCAGGAAAGGAGCAGCCGGAGACAGAGCCATAGGAAGAGGTCTGGATTGAACAAGCCACGCGTGTGGCTTCAGGTTGCCCCAGTCACCACTCGGCCTCCTTCCTCCTGTCCTGGGCAAGGCCCAGGCCCAGCCTGCACACCCTCAGGGCCAGGGTCTGTTCCTGCCCAGAAGCAGGAAACCTCAGCAAACCTTAGCATGGATTGGATGGGCCAGCAGGAAGATTTTGCCCTTTGTCATTGGAGAAGTTGCAGCTTCCCTGGCCTCGGGAGGACTTCCTGGAGGAGGGAGGTAAGGGTGGTATGCTATCTGGGAGCTCCAAAAGTGAGCGTTCCCTGGGTAGAAAGAAGTCTGGGAGATGGTAAGGAATGGAGACAGCGTTTCAGAATCCCTGGGGAGAAGCAGGTAGAGGAGGAGGGGCCGTTCACTGTCGCATCATGCATGTGTTCAAGCACCGCTGAGCCTGCTGAGTTCCAAGGATATCAAAGTGGATATAAGATGATCTCTGGCCTCCAAATGTAATAATGGAGTATCTTGCAGCCAAGTTGTAGGGGGTTATGCTTTGAGGCTGATAATGATGGCCAACCGCCAAAGATGTGAGAGGTAGCGGAGAATGTAGGCGACGGGGTAAGGATTGAAAACATGTTGGGGGCAAATTAATTGAGTAGCCACCTCTTGTGCTGCTCTAAGAAGAACTGGCAGACAAAGGGGAGAATGTCAACATTTATTGAGCCTCCCCCACATCTCAGGCACTGTAGGTAT